AGCCTCGCACTGACTGTGACCTTGGCTGCTGTTGTTCTTCTTCTTGTTACATGTAGCCGCCGCGCCTTGAACTCTTATGCTCGCCACCGCCACCAACGTTCTCTGAAATCTAATGCAGCTCAAAAAACCCCTGGCATGGACTTCTTGTCCGGTAGCAAAAGCCCATCTCCGACCAGGGCTGGCGCCACAAGGGAGATGGACAAAACTTCATCCTGCTGCCAGGTAATGCTGCTTCCTACTCAAAACGGAGTCGCTGGGATGACAAGTCTTCCGTTTTTAGTGAATCGGCCTCCTACAATTACCACATCTTCCAACAAGACGAAGCCCATTGCACTACGATCATCAAACCTTGACCGATTCTCAGCTCAACCTCCCTCTTGCTACGTGGTTAGCTCTGAAGATCCAGCCTCTCATCTTTCTAGTGAAACGTTCCGCAACTCATCTCTCTCACTACGTCCACAAGCTATCCTGAGCACCTTCACAAGCAATTCGTTGACGTCGCGACGTCGTGAAGCCTCTGATGTTATCTTTCCTCAGCCTCTAGAAGGCCAAGCCTCAACCAGTTCGGCGGGCGACTGGTCCAGCGTCGGTCCTAACCATTCAGGGGCCCGGCATTCGCTCCTGCTGCCTATTGCTGCCTGCAGCCTTAGCCCGACACTCACTAGCCTCTCCGTTGGCAACACCTGTCAGTCGGCAGCAGCCACACCTACTGTAGGGGATCATTTGCTTGTTCGGAACCGCTCTTCTAGTCGTCCTATCCTTTCAAGCATTTTGAACTCAGGCGCTCCTACTTTTGCCCCGCTTACTTCCGAGGTGTCTACCACATTTTTGGCCAAATCGGCAGGTGCTTTTGCTATTACTACCTCTCATGGTAACAGTAACACCAACCTGGTTTCATCCCGTTCGTCTTCGTCAACATTTGCCAATCCAGCGTTTGTTAATCCTATCCTGACACAAACGCCCTACTCTCATCACTTCTCTCCTAGACCAGGTGCTTTCCAGACTGTAGCAGCATCTCACATCGTAAGAAGCCTCCAGGCCTCAGAGCATTCTGAGTCAACTTCTAACAGGCCGTTCAAAGTCAACGTCCCAGGAGGCGAGTCCATCGCTGGCATGTGTAACTTGCCCGCCCCCTATGGCGTGGGCGCCTGCCGTCTTGCTTTTGGACCTTCTGCTGTGCACCACCATTACCCTCATCAGACTGCACTCGTACACTTTGCTCCTGGAGTTTTGAACCCTCAGACCAAATTGTTCACTCCAGCCGGTTATGCAACTTCTGCTGCTGCCTGTTGGTCTTCAATGTCTTGTCCATCTGCGTCGCTCTCATCGCTTGGATCCACAGGCCCCGGTGTTGGATCTTCAAGTGTGATCGGGGCTGGCAATGGGGCAGGCTTCTGTGCTTTGCGTCGTATAAGCGGCACACCAGATCGAGCTTCTGCAATCGCTGCTTGGCCTAGGAAGCCAGGTGTTGAGATCGGGTCTAGGCTCAACCAGTCAGACTCAATACCTTCACCCGAGGCAGGTGGCAAGATGCTTGGTTCGAGGGACTTTGTCGACGCCTCCACTTCCATGGATGATTCTGGAATTGTCCGATCAGACCCCAGAAGCTTCCTGCCAGAAGGCCGGGATAACTTGAAATCGGCCCAAATCGGTTTAGTTCTTCTGCACTCACAGAGTGCTCTAGGACCCTTGAATGACACTCGTAACCAAGCTGAGGGCCAGGAGGAGAAGGCAGAGGGAGGAAGCGAGGTGGGAATCGGAGAAGTGCACGGAAAAGAGAGTTTCGAGGCCTGCACTCATCATCCGCAGCAAAATAATAGCACTGATACTTTATCGCCGTCCTCGGATAAAGAGGATACGCTTTTGGGAACAGACTCCAAAGCGCATCCTACGTTTCTTCAGCCTACTGAGATTTACGCCAGTGATACACTCACTCCTCTTACACGGCAAATGCCAACTGGTCAACAGATTGGCTCTAGTCGCGACCTCAGGGTCGGACTCTCTCCCTCTAGTGACAATTTTTCTTTTGCCTTACCCGCCTCGGTGGCTGATACTGAACCCAAAATGTCAGTAGGTGGCACCCGGCTTCAAAATTCATTTTCATGCACAGATGACCCTTGCTTTGTTACCACTTTCAATAGGTCAGTTTCGAGTTCATTGGATCCGCATCTCTGTCAAACACATAGAAGTGATAAGTCAGCAGACCGATTAAATCATTTGCCATGTCGTACTGGTTTACTCAATCCCTGTTGACTTTGTCTGTAGTCTTTGCAATCTTTACTGGTAAATGAGCGCATGCACCTGCATACGATCGTGTATTTTATCCAGGTCACTTGGGTATAAGGTTCGATTTCGAGTATTTCACAATTTACGCCCTTTTCTTGGTCTTCCGCTTGAATTTATACCTGCCATTTCATTTTATTATTCCCCCAAACTTGCTCAGCCCTTTTCATTCCACTTTTTATCACTTATCAATCTGTATGCGCCCTTTTCCCAATTTTCTAGCTTCCTTATTCTCGTATCCATTTTACAAATATTGGTTTTCTTTTTTTTATTTGTCCTTGGATTTAAATCTCCAATTTTGTATGTTGGTAGTTTTTCTTTTTTTGACCGTTTTCTTGTCTGGTGACAAGGGCTCTTTTTAGTACCTCCAACTTATTTACTAGCGTTCATTTTTAATTTAAAACCAGTCTTGTGACGCCGTTTTACCGGATTTAAAAAAACTTAGATTATTTCTCCTCGTAGAGATGTAATGACTTTTATTTCTCCAACAAGAACATTCTTGTGTCATGCTGACGACGATATTATCCCATGCAGCACGCCTCTATTAGTCATATTAGCCTCGCCGCTGTGTGTACGTGAAGACCGTACATGTTATTGTCCCTTAGCGAGCATATTACCTCGGTATCATCAGAAATATCTTATTCCAATTAGCACTAATCTTTTCGATTTCGGCCTGTTCTTTAGCTATTTGGCCCAGCCATTGCAAATCTCAACTTTTGGCCTCATCAACCTTCGCATTATCATAGATGCTTTAAGCTTCTATCCCATTTGCTTATCCAATAACTGCTTGTCGCCCTCAGCATTCAAGATAGCCTTTCAAGACTAGTCTTAATCCCCCCTCGACCACTCACTTGAACTCTCCATCCTTTGCTTCACATGTGATTTCTTGCTTCATTGTCCCAATTTTTACTTGTTTTCTCTGGCTTAGCTTCGTTGATGATCCATCTCATCTGTACTTGGCTCGATCATCTATCCTGGTCGTGGCAAATATCCAAAATTTTACCTGATACACGATATATTCGCTATGCCTGCTTTCCATCAAGTGCCTAATCGGTCTGTTCCTCGACATTGAGGCCCGACTGTCAACATCCATGGAGCCCGATCTTTGATCTTTTCTCATACACCCACTTGTATATCTTTCTCGCCCTACTACTTTCGGATGTAGGACTAGTTTTGGGTCTATCTTGCATGATTTGTGCATGAACATATTTTTATTAGGCGAACAAGCTTACATTTGACTAGGCCTTTAAAATTAATTCCACAGCATTACGATATTAACACAAAATTTTCTACTTTCGAGCAACTGCCACAAACGGATACGCAAAATTGCCCCAACTTAGAGCTCCCATACTTCACTACACCTAAACTGGGCTCGTTCTGAAACCTCGTATTCTCTTTGTACATTTTAATCTATTTGATTTGTCTTGAGGCTGATAAGGCCCATAAAAGCTCAGTTGTGATCACCCGCTACAAACTAGCTTCGCCTTGTAACTTTATCCCGCTTTTCATTTTGCATTATGATCCTATTTTTTCCCATTATTCACTTTCGGTCTTTCTTGCGTTCTGTTTGTGGACTCTTTTATTTCATTTTTTGAGAATCTGTTGTTTTCTCTCTACAGCCCATTCTATCATGTACATTGCCTTGAAGTGGACGACACTTTACATTTTTAGTTATTTTCGCTTTTTGCTCTACTCTAGCGCGGCTGGAATATTATGAGCAACATTTAATTTATCTCTTACTAAATATTTGTGGGACATGTACACAAACATAAATTGATGAATCGCCATGTATGCATAAATGCATATACTACAATGTACTTAATCAATACATTCATTCTTTGTCACTTAGCTGCTTACTCTAAGTCAGGAAGGCATCTCAGAAGCATATCGTGCTGGTCATTTATATTATTGTCATCATAGTTATAGGCTAGCTTGCTTATCGCTTATTCCGTTGCATTCGAATAAATCTGTCATTCGCAATGCAGTACAATTTAGCTCTTATCTTGAGTTCCTTATTCGCCCCTTAACCTGAAGATACCAAGTACGAGCCTCCAAAACCTTTGTGTTTTGCATCCAGCCTCAGCCTCGACATCTTCCCAACAAATGAGCATATTGTCCTGACTTATATGCTCATTTGCCATCTTTTATTTGTTTGTTGTCCTCTTGGAACTGTTTTCATTCTAGTGGTTTGCCTGAGTTTATATTTTGTATGTTAAAACCTGGATTGTTGTAGTTCGTGGAATTGCTAATTTTCATTTAACGCCATTGGTTTCAGCTTTTTTCATCAAACAAGGCTTAATCTTGCATTTGGTTTTGTGAATTCCTCCATTCATCAGTGAGTCTGACAGCTGTACAGCATTACCACACTCTTAATCCATGTATTTGCATTTGTGTTTCACTCCAGACTGAATTTGTTAGCCCAGATGCAAAACACTTTGGCGGCAAGAAATTTTCTATCTAGGTTTATACACTTTGCTTAAGAAGCATGCAAGGTCGTCTAAACCTGCTTTAAGGGCACCTGGTACTGAGCGTGTGCTGTGCTTTTATTACTCCTTTACTCTCTATATTGATGTTTATGGTGACATTAATTCTGTTCGTTGGTAACCTAGTAAAATAGGGACTAAATGTATGGAAACTATGCTTATCTTATCTTCGTTATTTCGACTCTCTTGGCCTCTGCGCTACTAGTATTTTAGTAGTGTCTTCTCTATTGCGCTGCTGCTTCCTGCC